AACAGCCTGGTACTGGCACAAAGACAGAAAGGAAGATCAATGGAATAGAATAGAAGCACCAAAAGGGAACCCACACAAATACAGCCAATTAATCTTTGACAAAAAGACCAATGACAACTCAAGCAAGTGGGAAGGCCTCTTTAGTAAATGTTGTTGGGACAACTGGCTGATAGCCTGTAGAAACAAAAAGATAGACCCACATCTATCACCATACACCAAGATCCAATCTACATGGATAAAAGACCTAAACCTACATCCAGAAACCTTCAAACTCTTGCAGGAAAATGTAGGAAATACCCTGCAAGACCTAGGAGTAGGTTCCGACTTTCTAAGAAGGACACCAAAAGCAATAGCAGTTGAGAACAGAATAAACAAATGGGACCTCATCAAACTAAGAAGCTTCTGTACAGCAAGGGAAACAATCAACAAAGTAAAAAAGCAACCCACAGAGTGGGAGAAGATCTTTGCACACGATATAGGCGATAGGGGGCTAATTTCCAGGATATACAAAGAACTTCAAAACAACCAAAAAACCAAAACAAACAAGCCACTCAAGAAATGGGCACGGGAAATGGGCAAACATTTCACAAAGGAACAAGTCCAAATGGCAAACAAACATATGAAAAAATGTTCCAGCTCCCTAGCAATAAGGGAAATCCAAATTAAAACATCGATGAGGTACCACCTAACACCAGCAAGATTGGCCCACATAAACAAGAACACCAACGACGCTTGCTGGCGAGGATGCGGGGAAAAGGGAACCCTACTCCACTGCTGGTGGAGCTGCAAATTGGTACAGCCTCTATGGAAATCAGTCTGGAGAACACTCAAACAACTCAAAATCTGCATACCATATGACCCAGCAATAGCACTCCTAGGAATATATCCAAAACACCTGTTTTACGACAAACCAACATGCATCCCTATGTTCATTGCAGCACAATCAGTAATTGCAAAAACATGGAAGCAACCGAAATGCCCATCAGCAGAAGATTGGATAAGAAAGCTTTGGTTCATCTACTCCATGGAATAATTACCAACTTCTAAAAATAAAACGTAAACTGGTTCTAAAAAGTTTGTTGTGTTAGAAGTATGCATTTCTCATCTGTGTCATGCTATGAGCTTGCAATTACAATGGAGAACAAGGATACTCATTTCAAAGAGCAAGCATGGAGTCCATATTTAACCCAAGTTATTTGTGCATCTGAAGCATGTTGATTTGTGAGGGTTAGTGTTAGCAAATAATTTGGGAAATCGATAAAGAATCAAATAATCAAAACTACCTGACTAGAACAAGAAAAGGTACACTTATCTAGTGGGTGGAGGAAATACTGAGTGCGTGGGCAGCTCTTTCTCCAATAAGGAAGTGATGCCAGAGAAGCACCAGAGAAAGAGCAGGTGTGTTCACAGAGGGATAATTTGCTTTCATTACCTGAGAAAAGGTAGAGAACAAGTTCCATCCTCACACTCCCAAAGTTTTTTCTTTCTTGGACTCTGGGTCTACACTGAGCATCTCCACCCATATTTTCCTTTCTAGTTGCCGCTGTCTAGTACTTTCCTCTCAAGAGTACTGAGGCTGATACAATAAATAAATGTGTAGTGATACATGAAAACAAAAGTGACAAGAAAAAGAGATGAGTTGACTTGAGAAACGAGATCAGACATAAAATAAGTAGGTATCTTATGGTCCTTACACTATACAGCTGAGTTTCCTTTCTCATCTTTAGACATTAAATTCTGATCTTATAATCGTCCTGATCCTGATGATTACTCTGGGATGACAGACATAACCTCGGATCTTGTCTGATATTGAAAAATTCCTAAGGAAATAGAGACAGAGCAAGGCATCATTTATGTACGTGGAAAGTCTCCTGCTGCAGCCCATCAAAAAGATGGTATCCAAAAATGCCAATCCCAGTGTGGAGTCTTTTCTTTTTATTTATTTATTTTAATGATTCATTATTTTTAAAAATACTGATTACATGGTTGATCAGGGTGGGAAGGATCAAGGTTTAGGGAAATCGAGTGAATTAATTGCTTCCAAATTTGCTACTTCTTGTTGTTACTGGGGTAAGGGGAGAAACAAAGGGGAATACCACTCACAATTTTCCGCACACCCCAGTGCGCAGGGATGAGAAACAGCCAGCTCATGTGAACCCAGTGTCTCAATGTATACGTATTCCATGGGTTCTTTCCTAGTGGTTTGGATAGTTCTGAAATGCTGCCAACTTCACTGATCCAAAGATGGTGTCACCCTCCCCATGTCCATTGGCTCCATTCACCAAAACTATTTGCTGTCATCGTTTGTTTGGGGCTGTTGTCCAGTTAGTTCTGTTCTTCTGCTACAGCAGCAAATGTGCTGCCTTATTCTCCTTTTACAACAGGGCCTGTGTCCACTGCTCCACCTTTTTCAATAAGTAGGGAATGTGGGCTTGGTGCAGTGGCTTAGCGGCTAAAGTATGGAGTCTTTTATACTTCAAAGTGTCTATCAGTCAGGTGAGGAGCAGTGCATGTAGTAATAAGCAGAGGTCTAGAACTAATATATCCAGTCAGGAGGTTGGCATAAGAATCAGAGAGTTGCAATAACAACCAATCAGAGGCAGGAAAAAATCCTGTCAAAGGGCTGGAACGTATCACCCTGTCTAATCTGTTCTCACAATAAAGATAATACTACAAATAACCTCTGGTATGGGGCTAGGACATACGGAAAAAAATATGAGTATTGAAATATCTTGAGCATGCCAGCTTTTGTGTATTTATGCTATAACATAGAATGGCAAAACTGAGGTATCTGTAATGGTAGAAATAATTGCAAGAATATTAAATGTGGATGAACCCAAGAGAACTGACATAAATCTGTGGAATCCCTCAAGGTTCGCACTAATGACTAGGAAATTCCCCACTCCATGTTTGCAACTCGTCCACACGTCTTTTAGGGGATATTAATAAAGGAGGCTCACTGTTTTCTTCTACAATTTGCCCTCGGAAAGTTTTGCTTGTGTCTACATGTGAGCTGGCCTCGATGTAAGCCTTTTTTAGAGTGAGCGCAGCAGTACGGTCCTGGAGTTACAGAAGGAGAATATCTGCATCCTAGGGAGAGGCTATCTGAAGAAACCCCAGAGATGGCTACTGTGCACTGTTCTGGCAAGAAATTTCCTTCATCAGGAGCTTTCGAGTTTCTTACTTTGACCAGGTGCTGCCACAGAGGTTACAGAACACAGTGTTTTAGGAGATGAAATTGCAACCCCAGACAAAAGAATGAATGATTAAAAGCGACATGAAGAACAGAACAGTTTTCAAGTATTTGGTAAAGCAAACCCCAACTGCAAAACCAGCTAAAGTAAGTCTCAGTCTTCCTAAGTTTAGGCCCCCAGGCGGTCATGACAAGCTTCCTCAGCAACAATGATTACATCAACTCTTCCGGTGCTCATGCTTCCCCTCCTTCCTGCTCCTCTAGCTGTGCCTGTTAGGAATGCCCACTTGTCAGCTCCTCATTCGTAAATCACTCAGTGTCATTTTTCTGAAAGGATTCCATTGTCTTTCTAACAGTCTTTGGAGGAGTAAAAAATAGCCTTCATTAGTAATAGTAACCTACAAATGGAAATGTAACAGGATTAGGCATTGGGCAACAAATCCGCACTTAGATCGGTACTTAGATCAGTATGGCTATCACCATTAGATTAGCTGATGTAAGCTGAAGTAAACATAAACTGATGCAAACTGCTGAGATCTAGCATTGATGCTGTTTCTAAGGGATAAGTACTGCTGTAAGGAGAATAAGGGTAGCTGATTCAGGAGCTGGCTGACTTACAGAAACTTCATTGGAAATCTAGGAAAACTGAAACAACCCTACTAATTTGATACAGTCATACAAAAACAGTTCTCCAAAGCACACTTTGATAATTGTTTGATTCAAAAATGTGTATTTTAAAATGTTGATCCTGCTTTAACGATGTTCATGTAAGGCACAGGAGCCGGGGTTTTCAGAGACTTTAGTTAACATTGAGATGGAGAAGGGCATTCATTCTCTGCAGCTGTTCTGCCAACCTCTACTGAACTATTTCTGGTTTCCCCAAATCTATCCCTCGTCTTCTTTGCCAGGTTCCATAGGTAACACTTGGAGGAATCTGTCCTTTCAAATCTGTATTTTCTGTCCATCAATGTTGTAATCAAGCTCACAGCATGCTATGTGCCTTGCAAATTAGCTGTATTTCAATAAAATTGAAGAGCCTGTCTTCCTAAACAGGTCATGCAAGGGCAACTGCAAACCAAATTGTCAATCACAATTCCGGCAGCTGATATGTAGAATCCACCGAGAGGCCTCTTGCTCTGAACATTGCTGTTTTGTAGTCTTGTCTCAGGGATTTCTCCTCTCTGGCTATTTTAAATCAGCATTTAGAATTTTTAACATTTCTATTACTAGAAATATAAGCAAAGGAACAAATAACATTGCTGAAATTGTAGAAGTAGAAGGCTCTCTAGCCCACACACCACAAAAATGCATGGACTTCAAAACAAGTACAAGGGACAACATTCCTGCCTAATCTTTTGTGAAGTACTTTGGTGTGAATATCCTTTCAGAATCTGAGACTTTGCAGGTCCAAATGGCGCACTCTTGGCTTAAAGATCATTGGGAAGAACAGAGCTTTTAGCAGAGTAGCTGGATTGTGAAATACAACCTATGCGCGGCACAGAGTCCCATTTTCAATGACAATAAACGAGTCTAATGTTGTGTCCACAGGAACGCAAAGGAAATCACAGGTGAATGAGGAGCTGCTCCATACCTCCTTGAAGATTCTAGTTCTCAAACTCACAGATGCCCTCCCTGAAAGCAGGGACGTGCCTGTCTGCCTGCTCCAATGTTCTCCTGTCAATAATGTGATTGGTATGCATCGGTGATTGGAGTTCTCTCCAATCAGACATTGGATACAAAAGGAAGAACAAGAGGAACAGGAACACTGACCAAGAAACGTGCTGGCATCAGGTAGCGTGTGAGCACTATGCCGCTGTCCAATATCACAGCCTTCACGCCTTCTGTGCTGACACTCATTGGAATTCCGGGATTAGAGTCTGTGCAGTGCTGGATTGGGATTCCATTCTGTGCCATGTATATTATTGCAATGATTGGAAATGTGTTGCTTCTTGTTGTTATCAAGTTAGAACGCAGCCTCCATGAGCCCATGTACATTTTTTTAGGCATGCTTGGAGCCACAGATATTGCACTTGCCAGCTGTATTATGCCCAAGATGCTTGGAATCTTCTGGTTTCATTTGCACGACATTTATTTTGATTCCTGCTTGCTGCAAATGTGTCTTATTCACGGGTTTCAATGTGTGGAATCGGGCATCCTGCTGGCAATGGCCCTGGACCGTTACGTGGCCATCTGCTACCCACTAAGGCACAGCACCATCTTCACCCACAAGCTTGTCAGTCAGGTAGGAGCTTTGGTAATAGTCAGGGCTGCCATTTTTGTTTTCCCGGGCCCACTACTGATAAAGTACCGGTTTCAGTTTTACTATACCACTGTCATTGCCCATTCCTACTGTGAGCATATGGCCGTTGTGAAACTAGCTGCAGGAGACATCAGTGTGAACAAGATTTATGGCTTGCTTGTAGCCTTCAGTGTGACTATATTTGACCTCACATTCATCACTTTGTCCTACGTACAGATATTCATCACGGTTTTTTGTCTGCCTGAGAAGGAGGCTAGATCAAAGGCATTCGGTACCTGCATTGCTCACATATGTGTCTTCCTCCAGTTCTACATTCTTGGCTTCTTCTCCTTCTTCACCCATAGGTTTGGTTCTCACATCCCCCCTTACATCCATATCTTGTTTTCCAGCATTTACATGCTGGTACCTCCATTTCTAAACCCACTTGTCTATGGTGTAAAGACTAAGCAGATTCGTGTTTATGTTGTAAAAATGTGTTGTCCATAAGACCCGCCTTCACACTGACTATGTATGTCTTTCTCAGCATGGCAGCTGCTCCTGTAATCAGAACTGTCTGGGAGCGGGGTTGGGAATGCTGTCTGAGTGAAGGTAGGGGAAGATGCAAGGAGAGCAGCATAGTGAATATGCACAACCTGTTCTTTTCTCACTTTCACTTTGAGTTCTAAACTTCTTTTTAAAGGAAAATTCATAAGCCATGCATGCGTCTCAGTTTAAATACACTTAAGGTATGCTTTCTAGCGTGCCCAAGCAAGTTGTTAATTTTTTTTTCAAAGTCCGTCCAGTAAGTTAAAAAATATATATATAGGGCAATGCAGACTGAAGGTGCTCTTACTCACTTTATTACACTCATGAGAAAATCAAGTCTAAGGTTGAGCTAAATTTCAATTTCATTTCAGGAGTCACACACACAAAATCATGAGACTTAGTCATGGCAATTTATGTATCACTATTTTTCTGCTACTCCCCACATTTACCTCAAATTTATGAAGGGTTATAAAAGTCTAAAATATAGCACATACATGCCAGAGATATTATCAGTGTATTAAATCCGACACAGTGCTTAAGGTTCTGAGCTTGAAGAGGAATTAACTGGGAGAAAACTGAATCAGGGTGAGGATATAAAAACAGAAAAAAATATTAGAAAAATACGCATGCAATATGCGCATGGGAAAATTATGACTCATTGCAGTCTAGGTGAAAGCGATCAAGGTAGAAGCATTCTATTCTGTTTTGCATTTCGATTAGGTAGTTTGGTCCCCGAGCATTGAAATTAAAACACCTTATGCCAGAAAGGTCATAGAGCTCGAAACTAGAGAGTGGGATTTTATATTACAGCACAGGTTATTCCATGCAATGTTTAGTTCAAGGCAAGAAATGGGGAGATAGGGAAAACAGGGAGTGAAAAAAAAATGACGGCTTACACTAAGCAAAGTAAGTAACATTTTCTGAAAAGTGTAATGTGTCGCTGAATGTTGGAACATATTTTATTTAGTTCTAGCTGTTGTATTTAGAAAGTGGTGGAGTGCTGTGTCTAAGATTAGTGACTTGACAATTTATTGCCAGCTGACTCTGGGTGAGACTCCAAGGTCAAAGTTTCTCTTTCAAGCAACAGAAAACAACGGTGTGAACATACATGTGTGCCCACTGACTGCTGTCACATTTTCTGTAGACACTCGAGATGATTTTGTGGATTGGGCCTTCCTCTATGACAGATGAGGAATGTTGCATTGAAAATATGTTGGCTATTGGGACATTGAGGTATGTTTAACTATTCATGTTTATTGGTGCTTCTTGGTTGGTTCTGCCTATGGGTAATCATTCTTTGAAAACATGATTTCCTGAAAAAAATAAATGCATATTGTATCAAAGGTTATTACTGTTCTCTCCAGAGTTCAGTAAATCTTTAAATAAAGGACCAAATAATAATTCTGTTAGACTGTGTGGCAAAATGCATCAAAGCGGAGAATGTTATGTAGTTATCTGTTAGTTCATTGTGAGTGTGTAACACCAGAAATGTATTTCTAAAACAATTCTGCTTTTAAAATTAAAAACCAATAGTAATGATGATCACAATATAGTTTTCTGATACCTAGGTATTAGGACAATGATATCCATTTTCTTCAGGATAATATTTGTGTAAGTCTATTTGTAACTTAGAATTTTCCTGTGATCAGATTGTTTTTGCTATTCAAAGGCTCGTCTGTAAAAGTGCTCTTAATAAAGAACGATTGAAAAGCAGGTATCAAACCTATTTTATTTCTTTCTACTATAGATCTGAGATTATTTGGATATTTTGGAATTACTGCCAGTGGCTTCCTGAAAACAAGTGCGGTTATAGAGCTGACAGAAGCGTAGCACACTAATCCTTCATCTGTGTTGTCAGCACCTATCGGGGCTACGGTTGGGTCCTGGGGGCTCTGCTTCTCGTCCTTCTTCCTGATAATGGTTTGAAAATCATGAGAGAATGGCATGACCCTTGGGCTCTTGTGTGCAGGTGGGAGACCCATAAGAAGCTCCTGCCTCCCCACTTGGGACCTGCTGCCTCTGGCCTTAGCCATCATTTTGGATCAGCAGATGAAGATCGATGTGTGTCTCTCTCTGCCAGTAGTCCGACTTCCAAGTAAATTCAATAAAGACCTTTAAAGAGAGAGAATGTAGAGACAACGGTCCTACCCACTGTCCCGTAGCACTTGACCCTAAGAGTCCTAATCATCTATGTAATGATTATCAAAATAAGATAATAAGAAGAAAAAGCATGCTGTTTTCTTTAGTCACTTTATTACTTTGTATTTGCTTCCTTCTTGGCGTTAAGACCAGATTAATAAAAACTGAATTATCTCGATGTTGTATTTAATTTTACAATTTTTCTTATCTAAAGAAGTTAGTTTTGTGTATTTTCACACACAGTTTTCTGAGCGTAATACTTCCTATTATGACCTCCCCATCACCCTTGCTTCCAGTCTCATTTTCCTTGTTTACCTGGTTTTATTTCAATTTGAGTAATGACACGAGTGTACTCAATTTTGTCATTACAAGTATTCCCCCACTGCTAAAAACTTCAGCAAGCAGTAACCAGGAGAACAACTGCTCCTCAGCAGTAAAGATAGGGCTATAAATAATGATCAAATCCATATTATCCTTTTGTGTTACTCTTCATATTAATTACCACAAATCAAGGCAAACACTAAAAGTTGTATTTTTGGGGACTGGCTTATTTCACATCCTTGTCAGTGCAAAAGACAGGACTTCAATATTGTTTATGGATGAGTAGTACTCCCCCATTATACAGATACGGAGGAAATATATTCATGTATCACTCTTTTTCATTCAGCAATCAGGTGATGTGCACCTGGGTTTATTTCATGTCTCACCTATTGTGAGTTGAACAATTATAAAGATGGAAGTACAGATAACTCCTATTCCACCTTGCTTCCTTTGAGTAAATTCCCAAGAGTGAAATGGTTGAGTCATATGGTAGCTCCAGCTTTAGATTTTGGTAATGCTTCAGACATGTATTGCAGAAGCTTGCCTTGAATATGTCTCACAATCTATTTTTTGGAAGAATTACCAGAAAGATTACCATTATCAGAAATAGACATTGCAGTACTCTTTTCACAGTCTAGGTTGTCAGTGTCAATTTACTCAGTCTAAACGAAACACTTTGTAAGCAACATCTGAAAGATGATATTCTTTTTAATCCATGTATCAAAAGTTTGTCCTATGAGCTTCCATGAAAGCAGACTAATGGATGTAAATTATGTTCTCTATTTACCATGATGGATCTAACCTTGTGCTGTAAGTTTTTTTAATTCTTTTACATGAAATGAACAAACTTCATGTATTTGATCTTATACACTGAGAATCATAATGATACTTTTCCCCAAACATCCTTCTTGATTGTACTCCACCGCTCTCCTCATTTTCTACTTCTTTTCCAATGGCATATTTGCATTTTATCTCACAATCATACGCTTCGCTCCCATTAAGCACATATTAGGCAGAATAGAACAGCAGCGCTCCAGTCGTCGAGTGCATTGACGAAGACTGTCAACAAGCCTACCTCAGGTTGTGAACTCAATCATACAGATTACAGGACTGTGCTCCGTGGATTAGTTATCACACTCTGGGATAACATAATATTCGTCTTTCTGGGACTGCTCATTTGATTAAGCACAATGGTTTTCAATTACATTCATCTGGCTGAAAAACACAAGATTTCATTCATATTTTTTAACATATATTTTATTTTTATTGGAAAGTCAGAAATACAGAAAAGAGACAGGGAGGAAGATCTTCCATCCATTGATTCACTCTGAAAGCCACAATGGCCAGAGCTGTGCCAGTCTGTAGCCAGAAGTCAGGAGCCTCATCCGGATCTCCCACACGAGTACAGGGTCCTTTGGGTCATCCTCGATTACTTTCCCAGGCCAGAAGCAGGGAGCTGCGTGTGAAGTTGGGCTGCCAGGATTAGAATTGGTGCACGGATCATATCCTGGCATGTGCAAGGCAAAGATTTCAGACACTAGGTTACCAAACCGGTACCGAAATTTCATTCATCTTTACAACTTTAGTTGCATTTCATAGTGCCTTACATTTTCATTATTTAGTCATGAGAAGATGTGCAACAGTGGTGATTTCACATCTCAACTATTGTGGATTGAGCTGTTCTAAACATGGGTATGCAGATAAATCTCTCATGCTAATTTCATTTTGCTTGGATACATTCCCAGTAGTGGGATGGCTGGATCATATGAGACGTGTACTTCCATATATCTGAGGACTCTACACGGTGTTTTCCCCAATGGTTGTGATGGTTTACCTCTCCCAGCAGCAGTGGATCTTTCCCCAACATCCTCCACATTGCAACAGTTAGAGTTAAGTTGTACTGAAGCCAGGAACCAAAAGCTTGTTCTAGTCCTGCCAGGAAGATGCAGGGACCCAAGGCTTTGGGGCATCATCTACTACTTTGCCAGGGCACAAACATGGATTTGGGTGGGAATGATCTAGAACATTTCTAATGGGAAGTTTTTAATCATTATGATTATCATTGTGAATATTGAGCTTCATGGCATAATCTTTGTATTCCCATTATGACCTGAAATTTTCGATAAATGAAAATGAAAGAAAAAGTACATGAGACACCGATAAAGGATTCCAAATTTGTCAATGGATTCAACACACTTTTAAGGAACTTTTATAATGCTTATGCAAAATGTGCAATGAAAAAACTTATTCACATATTTCAGAAATTTTTTCTCCAAAATAACTCATATTTTGCTTCAATGTTTATACATTTTTCACAATATCTCATACAGACAGAAGTTCCAGTAGAAATTGCTTAAACAACTTGAGAATATTGCTATGTTGTATCCTTCCTTGTAATTACCTAGAATCAAATACTCCTTCTTTAGTTTAATCTCAAGCAGCTCTGAGTGGTAGCCAGGCAAAATCGCTGGCTTTATATGAAGAGGTGAACAACAGAATAA